AACGACCGGAGAGCAATTGCGGGCGAGGCGAGTTGAGCGACGGAGAGAGCTGAGGAAGAAGAGAGAAGTGAGGGGAGGAAGAATATTGATATAAGTACATAGAAGCTTGCGCGACAGAGGCTTTGTCGGGCAAGCTTCTATGCGTCGTCGGGATTTTTTAAAAATTTCTGTGAAAAAAAGCGCCTTTATTTACAGGCACTTGCGCGACAAAATCTATTTGGTCACACAAATAACCTTTGCGCAACGAAATTAGGTCTTCATCTCGCATGTGTCTTAATTTTGTTTTTGTTTCTTTTTTGGGTCAAAAAGATAGACTGTATTTACAATCTAATCCAAATGTTTACATCCCTAGCAAGTGTCTAAAAATTAAATCCCCTCGTAAAATTTTAACGCTTGCGCGACATAAAAGTGTTGTGCGTAGCACAATTATGTTTAAAAATGGGTTTTTTTTTTTTTTTTTTTTTGTTTGTAGAATTTTGATTACAATTTATTATAAAATACTAATAAAACAAATGTATTTAGAAAGTAAGTCACATATAAAATGTACTAACCATTTAATGTATTTTACAATCAAAATTACAAATAAATTGTATTAATCTTCATCCGAAATGGTTCTTGGAAAAGATTAGTATCTCGGAGCGTTTCCGCACCAATTTCTATCAAAGATTCCAGTCGTTGGTCAGCAACATTGTTGATGTCGTCGTCAGTTGGGTCTTGTTCTAGTATAGCATACACGTTCCTATGATCCATCTTCTAAACAACTTTCCAACCCATCCCGACTTTAGGGTCTTCTATATACAAAATTTGTTTTGCCATGTTTGCTAAGATGTAAGGGTCGTCATCGTACCAAGTTTTGGTAGTGTTCACTGATAGTAATCCATGATTTCTTTTAACACTTCCCTGCCTATTTGGGTTTCTATCAAACCATTGGCACTTAAGTAGGATCACTTGGCATTGGTCTTTGTAAAGCAATTGCATGATACTTGTTAGTTTGCCATCTATTTTGCGTACACAACTTGTCATCTCGTGCAGCCCCTAAGAACTTGACACCGTTAACATGGCAACGCAAGAACAATTCAACGCGAATCGGTCCGAACGCCAAGTTATGTAACTCTTCACTGTACGCTGGGGAATTCGATCCTTTCAAATGATTCACCTAATATTACACAAACACTTAAATATGTTAGTTCAAGCAAAATAATTGGTACAATATATATGTCCAATACAAAACACTTCAAACTTACATATTTGAGAAACCACTGCAAAATTAATACATGGTGTTTATTGGCATACAAATGTGAAGGATGTGCCTGCTACATCATATCTTCATGCTCGTCTAGGTATGACGTTGTCTTGTCACAATTGTTGAGTACGAACCAATGTGCTAGCTCCACGTCCTTTTTGGAAAACAACTCGCCTCGTATCAGATCTCTGAAGGGTCGAGCGATTTGGGCAAAAACTGAAAGTTTCTCCTTTTCACACCCCCGTCATTATTGCGAGGATGACGATTGAAAGTTGTCTCCACATCCTTTAAATACATTCCACAAAATGTAAGCGTCTCATATGCCACCCAAGCTTGTATAATTAATCATTCGGGCTTCGCTTTGTTTCATACACTTTTCTTCAAGTCTCTGAGAATCTTGCCAAAATAAAAAGATACGATACAAATTTTACAAATCATAAGATATTAATAATAAAAATGACGAGGATTATGTACCTTTCTATTGGATACATTCATCTAAAGTTGACTGGTCCAATAAGCAATGCCTCATTTGGTAGGTGAACCAACACGCAGATCATACTTGTGAAGAAAGCTAGAGGAAATATCATTAAACTTGCAAAAAAAAGCTGAACAACAACATGATTGGTTTCACTAAATCGGCTGGCAAGAGATGTCGAATACCAATAGGAAGTAGGCATTATAGGAGCACATGGCAGTCATGACTCTTTAGTCCAGCTAATTTATTCTCGTCAATGTTCATGCAATGTGCGATATTTGAAGCATACCCATCGAAAAACTTTAGAGACGATAAAAACTTTAAAAATTCTTTTTTGTTATTCGGTTCCCTTTTGGCTTTATCACCGTCCCTATTCATCCATAAAACTCATCGTATTCCCATTCATTCCAAATCAAGATAAGCTTTGATCATGTCCTTTGTCTTACCCTTGATATCTAGAATTGTGCTGACCAATGTGTCAAATACATTTTTCTCACCATGCATAACATCGAGGTTGTGTCTCAATTTTAGTTTTGACCATTACTGGAGCTCAAAAAACCTAGACTTGTGTGTCCAGTTCATATATGTAGAAGGTCTGGTCCTACTTACAGTTTTCCCAAACGGAGCAAAATCTAAACGGTTAAGCTGTTCCAAAATCTGATCACTAGACCATTCTTTAGGTATAAGCGAGGCTCTTTTTTCCTATCAAACTCTTTAGCCTTCTTTTGCCACTCATGGTCCCATGGCAACCATCTCCAATGACCAAGGTAACAAACTTTTCCAACGTGCCAACTAGATGTTACGTCTTCTTTGCATACAGGGCATGCCATATAACCCCCTAGTGCTCCACCTGGAAACCATTGTATATGCAGGGAAATCGTTCACAGTCCACATCATTACTGCCTGCAAAGTGAACATCTTGCCAGTAAACTTATCATATGTGTGCACATCGTGTGTCCATAAATCCTTTAGCTCATCGACCAACAGCCGTAAGTATACATCGATTAACCTACCAAGATCTTTAGTTATCAATAAATTCATCATCATGTATTCTTTTTTCATACAATTCCATGGCGAAAAATTATACAAAAATTGGCCAAGTGATGTGTTGTTGGTTTAGAATCCCGGACGGATTAAATCCGTTAATGGCAAGTCCTAATCTAACATTCCGAGGATCAGCAGCAAAATCAGGGAACGTTCAATCGAACTCTTTCCATACCTCCACATCTACAGGATGCCTCAACACATCGTGATCTACTCGTTTTTCCTTATGCCATCTCATATCAGTGGCAATATGCGCTGACATATACAATCACCGCAACCTAGGCTTCAAAGGCAAATAACGCATGTCTTTTTGTGGGATCTTCGTCAATCAATTTTGAGATGTCATTTTGAACCTCGACTCATTGCATATATGCATTTATCCAGCACTTTATTCTCCTTATAGAACAATACACAATTGTTTTTACAAGCGTGAATTTTTTCATAACCCAATCTAAGACCATTCAACACCTTTTGAGAGTTTCTATGGTCTTTTGGCAAAAAATTGTCCCTTGGTAGCATTCTCTTGAAAACCCCCAAAAAGTAATCAAAACTTTGGTTCGACATATGATACTTTATTTTCCTGTACATTAGTTCCACAATAGGTGTGAGAAGCAAAAATCCCTCACATCCCAGGGTATAACTCTTGGTTTGCATTTTTTAATAGTTCATATTGTTCGAATTCTCCACTATCCATTGGTGTAGGCACGTCACTTCTTGATTGGTATTTGTCGACACAAATGGAAAAAAACGTTATTTAAGATTTCCAGGACTTGTTCATTAGGATCCATATTAGGTTCAACATTGCCCACTCTTGTCATGTTTGAAGACGAAGCATTGTCTAATTGTTCACCGTGATGGTTCCAAATATTATAGGTCTTTACCATTCCATTCCTTACTAAATGAAATCAAACATTTTCAATAGTTTCCCTTAATGTGTTGTTACACCTCCTACAAGAACACTGGATTCTAGTTGCACCCAGGTTGTGTGTACATGCAAAGTCAATAAAATCCCCGATTTTGTTCAAGTATTCGTTGGCGCATCTGTTCGGGTTCTGCAACCATGTTTTGTCCATCATTCCTGCTACGACAATAATAGTACAACAATCATAACAACTTCAACATGATCTTGTCACCTTATGCCTCCGGTAAGGGCCCTATCTCATTTAGGAATGCAAAATTATGTCAAGTAATTTATGGCTAGTTTAAATTAGATTTTGACATGGAGAAATTTCGGCAGCATCTTTATAGAGTTCTTCAAGTGCACGACATAGTTATAAAATACCTATGTGCCACCCGAATAACGTATAGAGATGACATCGAAATCCCTGCAACCAAAACCTAATCCTTTAACCGTAAACTACGCGTCATAACTTTGCATTCCCAAACTGTCCAAATAATGGGACAATTCAAGAATCAATTGGACCACAGTTATGCTTTCGCATCCATGCGTGACATCCAACTAATCCTCAAACGGGAAACTAAGTTTTACTAAAAAAATAACAAGTACAAAGTTAATTACAATTAACTCCTTACATCACAACTCATATTTGTACGTATACAATTCAACATAACAACATAATTTCAATATAATTCAACTAATTTATATTTAAAAAAAAATAAAACGAAGAAAATACCTTCCAAATCGTTATCCAACGAGCGCTAGTCACGCACAAATCCCTATACACAACGAATTTTATGGTGTTAGTATGAATTGACATTGATAATTTTAAATGAAAATAACAAAAACCCAACCAAACACACTAAAATAGCTCGATCAACCTAGAGAAGATAGAGATTTAGATGGACAAAGTTTTAGAGGAAGAAATTAAGAGAAAATGGGAACAACACATTCTGAATTGAAGAAAAATGAACAGAAAAAATTGCAGAGGTGAAATCTGCAGTTTTCTGCCTCTCCAGCTAAAGTCATGTTATAAAGATTACTTTTGGGAAAAGCACTTTGCGCGACGAACACAGACGTCGCGCAAGTTATTTTTGTGCGACAAAATATACCTTCAGCGCGCAAGTGCCATTTTTTTTTTAGCAAAATTCACGTTTTCGTTTTCTTTATAATTTAATAATGTAAACTATTTGTGCGACGGATACCATCACACAAGTTGCATTATTGTTTTTTTCTTATTTTTTTTCAATTTTCTTTCTAACTAATGTAAAATTTTTTTATCCAATTAAAATTATCAAACCAAATTATATATTATCAAAATATTTATTAAAACTAATATATTAACAAAAATATATATTATAACTAATGTAAACTTTAAGTCGTCCATGTAAGATAAATTTTAAAAATAAAGTCCAACATAATGTTCAAATAAATCTTATTCAATAAAAAAAAAAAAAAAACAAATTAAGTTCACTCTTCCTCTTGGTCATCAGCAAGGACATCAGTAGCGGCATCGTCAGCTCGTGCACGCTTTGCAGCCCGATGTACTTTGAACTTCCACTGCCAAAACTGCATCTTGAAAAGGACGTCCACATACTTCCACTGCTTCTCATCGGTTTCATCAATATCCCAAACCTGCAATGGCAATAAAATTAAATTAGCTATCGCAAAAATGTTATTTTTAAACAAAAATAATTTCACATTCTTTAATACAAACTTACCAATAACTCCTGCACCATGGAGTTCTTCAAGTCCACAGGCACCATTTTCCAAGACTTAAACTCGGTAAAACACTGCTTCCGTACCAATCCATCTATATCGAACCTAAGTTCGGCGGATGCTTCAGCCGAACTTTTGTCATCAAACGAGGGCAAATGCTTACGTTGGTACCTCTCTATTGTCAACATAGCTTTCTTCATTTTTTTCCTACCACAAAAATTTAAACCATATCAAATGTAAAACAATTAATTCAACAATAATTTTTTTGTACCATTCCCTTCATGAGAGCCCTCTCCCTCCCAACTTTTTGTTGCATCTAAAACTGAATCGGCCATCATTTGAAACAAAACCTTTGCAAAATAGGCTTCTGAAACTATGTTTATATAAAACACGACAGACTTTGCACGACGAATCCTTGGTCGCGCAAATTGGTTATAAATGTGTGCTACAAATGGGAGTGTTTAATGCTGGCTGACCGTGTTCAACAACACTTTGCGCGATGAATATGTAGAAAAACTCGTCGTGCAAACTTTTGGCGCCAAATTTTATTTACCCGCCTTTTCTTGCGCAACGCACAAATAGTATTCGTCACGCTAAGTCCTCTTGCGCGACAAAACTATTTGTCGTACAAAGTTTTTATTTTTTTTATTTTTGAATTCTTCCAATGTTGGGGCGACGTAAGTATGTTTCCGTCGCGCAAGTTACACTTATGCGACGAAATCTTCTTCGTCTCGTAAAATATGGTCGTGCAAGCTGTTTTTTCTACTAGTGTTATATGCTATTTTATTTTGCAATTTATGTATCACACAATTACGTATTTTTTTAAGTATAAATAGACATTTATTTATATGTTATTGTTGACTCTAAAAATTACAAAGCCTACGTGGCGCGCAGGCCGAGTAACTAATAAGCTAACTACGTCTTTCAGTTGAATGCGGGACATGCCAACTCGTCGGCCAAGCTCGGCCGAGGAGTAAAATTTGTTGATGTTGTGTTGAGCGCGTTGCTGACTTCTTTATCTTGTGACTGCGACCGAGGAAGGAACAAATCTCGGCCTTTGGATTCTCGAGCCTAAAGACAAGGCTGCTAGTTCTGCGAAGTTCACAAACCGTTGGCGCCGGATTCGGTCACAGTGATTATATTTGTGAGAGTATAAGCACGTCGAATTGACACCAAACTGTACAGAGACAAGTATTCAAAGGTGATGTAGGACCCTTGATGGTGAATGTGGTTCGGCCGCCAGAATGCCGAACTCTGAAACTCACTTGTGAGTATCTAATCATAAAATCACTCAACGTCCAATACGCCGAATGTCGTAACTCGTAACACCTTACTTCGCCGAGAAGGCTAATAAGATGACCTCTGCCAATAAAGATTCGAAAACCCTTCTCGACCGAGACTTAGATAGGTAACCAGTCGACCTCGGCGCAGTGCTGTTTATCCAAACTGAAGGTGCTCTTCTGTCGGCTGATTCTACGGCAACAGTGTTGTTTATCCAAACTGAAGGTGTTCGTTGGTTGCCGTCACAGTGTTGTTTATCCAAACTGAAGATGTGTTGGCGAGAAAAAATAAAAATAAAAATCTCAAGATGTTTGAGAGGTTTTGCGCAGGGCAGTTGTGGGTTGAATTGGAGGTCCTGAATCGTTGCATGATGTCTTATATTTATAGCACCAATTCCTTCTTGAGATCGAATTTAAACTCATATCTGGATTAGGAGTTCTTGTTTCGTTCTAACTTTGCTTCGAACAACGCTACTCCTATTAGCACTTTGAACTCACCCCTTTTTGGGGCTTTATTCATTGTTGGTCGAGAATCCTAATTGCACTAGGACATCCTCGACCCATTTTCTTATCTGAACTACTCCTTGTAATAGGACTCAACCGTCCTTGCTGAATGGCCCAGAATCACTAGATAGCCTATAGTATTTTGACACGTCTTTGGGCCGAACACAAACCTACACTCGGCCCAACAATATTATTTTAGGCCCAAACATTGCCCCCTAGCTTCTGAGGTCGTCAACTGCCATCCTTTGGTCGGATCTCGACCTTGAAGAAGCAAAAACATCTTTTGCCTTTAGACTTAACTATTCTCGATAACCATTACCATGCGCATTTATGGAATATGATTGCACGATCTTTGTTACTCCCAACGTCCTACCACGTGTCGATTCCCTGATAAATCTAACAACTCTCAATCATAGCCCTCGAAAACGTGCGCTCGTCGAAACGTCTCTTCCTTATCAATGCATTAAAACCACCACCGCATGCAATCGTGTGTCCCAAATCCCTGAAAGCCTTGATCCTGCCCTTGAAGATTCCCGAGATATCCGAAATGATTGGCCATTTCCTGGTTGATTTTCCTTGAAATTAAAAAATCTAGCGCTTCTGAATACCAAACGTTTGATCTTCCTTCTGAAATGCCTATAAATACCTAAATTTCTTTCATTTACATCCCACGCCTTTAGAAACTTTGAAAATTCCTTTCGCCATTCTTGCTTTCTCAAAACAAAAGATCTCAAGCTCATCTCTCACAAGCCCTTTTTATGCCCACGCGAACCTTTGAATCCTCACCAATGGCTTCCTTCATCTCAAAGCTCTCCAACAAGTGCAACAAATGCAAAGATTTCATCGACCAGAGCGCTATCCAAACACTACGCTTCAAGAGCAACCTAAACACCACTCATCAAATTCTGGGGTTGCTTTTTAAAGATGCAGTGCCATCGTGCATCACCAACCTTCTCAAGGAACAGTGCCTAAGACCCTTGCTACAAGGGTTTGACAGGTTGAAATGGTGTTTGGCATGGCCCCAAGGAGCTTGGCCCTTAACCACTGCAGCCTGGGCAACCTGGGTTGAATGAATGGAAACATTCTTTGACAAAGAATGGAAAACTCTTGGCATTTATGACGCCATCAAGCTCTTGACCATGGAGAACACCATGGATAAAGAATTGCTCATGGCGGCTCTGAGTTTGTGGTGTTCGGACACCAACACCATGATTCTTCCTTTCGGCCCTCTCAGCTCCACTGTCCTTGACATTTCAGCTATCCTTGGGACTTCCCCATCTGGTCTCCCAATAGATGCTGCCCTTTCCAGGTGCCCATCGAACCTTGACCTAAAAGCACTGTTCGACGATTGGGCCATCGAGACACTCAGCCGAGAAGGTCAGGAACCCTCGAAAGAAGAAGTTCAAAAATTGCATAAGAACTTTTTCAACTACAACACCCTCATCCTCCACTTTGCCGGCCGTGGGGAGGCAAACTTGAACAAAGGCGAGCACAAATCCTTCATGTTCTACTGGTACAACAAGTTTATTTTTTGTACCAAGTCGAATAAATGCTTAGTCAAAAACATGCCAGTAGCTCAAGCCTTGGCTAGCGGTCACTCCTTAGCGCTAAGTCCGGCCATCCTCGCCAATCTGGCTGCAGGTTTAATTTTCCACACTTCGGTCCGAAACAACCATTAACAAAATCGACCCGCACCAGAACGGACCCCTCTAGGTATTCCAAATCTGGCTGCAGGTTTAATTTTCCACACTTCGGTCCGAAGTCCCTGTTTTCCAACCTACCGCAGCGTTTGGTCCTCAATTGGCCTCTCGACGGGTACCTTCTTACCGGGCCGATGAAGTCCTTAAACACTTCTTCGGCCTGGACGTCTTTTCTAATGACAAGTTCTTAGTATGTCGGCGTTAGGAATACCCTGCCTCGATCAGGCTTCTAAAGAAAGCATGGGATGAAACTGAAGATGCTGATCTTCGTCAACACTGGTGGTCGTTCGTATTGACACGCGACCTTCCCCTCAGTTGCGACGCTCATCGAGCCAGTTGGGAGGTCTACCATCCCCATTTCGTTGCCCAGCAACTCGGCCACCTCCAAGGTTGCCCAGTACCCCTGTTCCTTTCTCGCTCCCTCTTAAGTCGATGACGCTTTTCTGGTTCCTCCGAGAGGGAGTGTAGAACGACGGAACAAGAGTTTCAGGATAAGTGTAAAAAATTTCGACTCCGACCGACCGTTCCTGAATCTTTGAACACTGACACCTTTGGGGACTGGTGGGAGAAGTACACCCGGGACTTCTTTGGCGTCTCGGCCGAAAATGTGGTCAATAAAATCTTCGGCGACCGACCCAAACAAGCTCCTGCAGCCCAATCCAAAGAAACGACCCAAGGTATATTATCGTTTCTCCCTTTGTACTTCAACTACTTGCTCAATGTTTCTAACTCGACTTCGCTCTCTCAAGTGGTCGTGTGTTGAAACGAGCTGGCGTGGTCGTCGCGGCAATGGCCAAGAAAAAATTAGTCCCCTCCTTGAAGAAGATTTCAACTACCGAGCGAACCCCGCCGACCAAGCAACCTTATCAGGATGCTGAGACGGGAGATGACGCTCCTCGACCTTTGAAACGCATCAAGAAATTGGTGAAAAAGGGGGAACGGAAGATTCACGTCATCTCCAGCCAAACCACGGGATCGACCGCTCCTATCGTATCTCCTCCCGTCCCGGTTGTCCAGGCTTCGACGGATTAACTTTCATTGCCATCTTATCACCCAGCCGTACCGACAAGGGTTATGGTCGAATCGACTACTGCTTTAGCTGTGGCTTCGGAGCCGATCGTTGCACCTGCTTTGGAGGAGACGGCCACACCCGTCGAGGCATCCCCATCCAACGACTGACGATCATTCTGAAAGAGGTATGATTCCATTGCTAATGATCTTTGTTTATACGATTTTCAAGTCGTAACAGCTTTTTATTTGAGGACGATGAGAGCGACGAGGGTGACGAAATTCCGCTGGAGTGTCGCCCTCGACCAGCCAACCTTTCTTCCGTCAATTTTCCTTCTGTGGTCAAGGCGGTTGTCCAACTGGATCCTCCTACGGCCGATCATGGAAAGAGACCCCTGGTTGAGCCTGAGGCGACGGCTGAAACACTGCTACATCCATAAGATGAAGACCTCAACATTCCTCCACAAGAAGTTACCTCGGCTTTTGTAAGGTTCCCTCTCCTTTCTTTATTAATTTTATTATGATGCGCCTGAACTCAGGAAAATATTAAATGTTAGGTGTTTGGACATTCATTTCACCGACAATTTTATGTGCTGAAGGGTATTGTCTATATTTCCTGGCCACCTCAGTGGCCATCAAATGTAGATAACCTCCATCGGCCATGTGAATTGGGAAGCGATCTTAGGTACTGAGCTCGGCCATTAAGTTC